TATTTGTGAAGGCCTAAGGACACCTATAAAACTTTGTACATTAAACCATTACATAAAACAAAAGAAGAAAGAAAAAGATCTGCAAGAATGCCACTGAAGTTTTATTCATAATAGTCAAAAACTGCTAATGTGAATCTAATGTCTGCCACAGATAGATAAACAATATGTGGTGTGTTTATGCTATGAACTACTACTCAACATTAAATGGAATGAACTGCTGATACTTGGAACAACATAGATGAATTTCACAGACATCATACTGAGCAACAGACTAGATGATTCCAATGACACGATGCAACAGCATTTGCAAAATTAACCTACGGTAAAATCAAGTAAGTGGCTGCTTCCAGAGAAGGCAGGGATTGCGAAGGAGAAAGAAGGAAATCTTCAAGATAATGATAGGTTTATGGGTTACAATGTGTATATATTTGCCAATACTCAAAAATTATACTCTCAAATATTATGTACTTTACTCAGTGTAAATTTTCATTCAACTAAAAAAAACTCTTTAGTAAAATAAGAATAACAATACTATAATTCTAGTAAGCTTGCTTTACAAAGTGGTATCACTTGGCAATTCTAAAACTACTTTCTCACTATTCTAGGCTTCTACAAATGAATAAATAAGTAGTGATAGGCAGATTTCTCATAGTTGACAAGGGAAGATATAAGTACAGAAAGAAAAGAATTAAATACTTTGGGGGAAATATCTTGTAATGATGAATTAAAATCACAAGTATCAAAATAAACTTGAGGCTTTTATAAATGATATTAATATATGTATGTATGTGCATACACAAATAGAGGCATATTTCTTTCTACATGAATATACACACATATGTATACAAATTTCCTATTTCTGCAGGAGAAAGGGCCTAGCAGCAATAACAAATCACAGAAATGAGCATACCCAGTAGTCAAATATTAGTTTTGAAATACTACCATCATTCAACAAAAGCACCTACAACTTCTTGGAGTGAAGGAAGATTATGGAGCTACAGCAGAAAAACCGTTAGATAAGTTTGGAAGAACTTGCTATAATCAGAAAGGAAGGAAGTGCTTGAAGAATCATGAGAACGTATCAAGAGGAGCCAGCTTGAAGGAACAAGCAGTGGCCAAACTTGAGACCCTTTGAACATCAAAACAAACAAAGGAAGTAGTACATTCAATACATAATATGGAAAATAAGAATTCACGGTCCATACCGATATAAATAAAGCAATAAATAGAGATAGAAGGTAAAGTCTGTGCTTTTGTTAGAATATCACTAATATGTAAGAAATGACAGAGACAGAAAATCATGAATAGATGCTAAAATTTGCTGAAGAGTAAGATATAAACATAAGCTCAAAGATCAACCAACAAAGCAATTTTTACTTACAAAGGAAAAATAAGTTTTTTAGTGGAGAAACTCAGCAGACACCACCTTCAGTAAGTAATCAAAAGTACCTGGAACTAGTTACATCATGTGCCCACTGACATGCTGCAATGAGAACAGACCACTTCTGTGGTATGCACACCAAAAGCCAATCATGAATAAGAGACCCAAAACTGGGGTTATTCTACAACCGAACTAATGCTCCTCAAAAATAAAGGTCATGTACTATTAAGAAAGGCTGACTGTCATATCTATACACAATGGAATTTTATGCAGCCATGAAGAAGAACGAAATGTTATCATTTGCTGGTAAATGGATGGAATTGGAGAACATCATTCTGAGTGAGGTTAGCCTGGCCCAAAAGACCAAATATCGTATGTTCTCCCTCATATGTGGACATTAGATCAAGGGCAAACACAACAAGGGGATTGGACTATGAGCACATGATAAAAGCGAGAGCACACAAGGGAGGGGTGAGGATAGGTAAGACACCTAAAAAACTAGCTAGCATTTGTTGCCCTTAATGCAGAGAAACTAAAGCAGATACCTTAAAGCAACTGAGGCCAATAGGAAAAGGGGACCAGGAACTAGAGAAAAGGTTAGATCAAAAAGAATTAACGTAGAAGGTAACACCCACGCACAGAAATCAATGTGAGTCAATGCCCTGTATAGCTATCCTTATCTCAACCAGCAAAACCCCTTGTTCCTTCCTATTATTGCTTATACTCTCTCTACAACAAAATTAGAGATAAGGGCAAAATAGTTTCTGCTGGGTATTGAGGGGGGGTAGCGGGAGGGGGTGGAGTGGGTGGTAAGGGAGGGGGTGGGGGCAGGGGGGAGAAATGAACCAAGCCTTGTATGCACATATGAATAATAAAAGAAAAATGAAAAAAAAGAAAGGCTGACTGTCAAAATATCTCTATTTGCAGACGACATGATCCTATACCTTAAAAACCCAAAAAATTCTACTCAAAAGCTCCTAGACACCATCAATAGCTATAGCAATGTAGCAGGATATAAAATCAACATAGAAAAACCATTAGAATTTCTATACACTAATAATGAACAAACTGAGAAAGAATATATGAAACAATCCCATTTACAGTAGCCTCAAAAAAATCAAATACCTAAGTGTAAACCTAACAAAGGATGTGAATGACCTCTACAAGGAAAACTATAAACTTCTGAAGAAAGAGACTGAGGAACACTATAAAAAGTGGAGAGATCTCCCATGCTCATGGATTGGTAGAATCAACATAGTAAAAATATCTATACTCCCAAAAGTAATCTACATGTTTAATGCAATTCCCATCAAAATTCCAATGACATTCATCAAAGAGATTGAAAAATCTACCGTTAACTTTATATGGAAACATAAGAGGCCACGAATAGCCGAGACAATACTCAGTAAAAAGAACAATGCTGGAGGTATCACAATACCCGATTTCAAACTATATTACAAAGCAATGACAATAAAAACAGCATGGTACTGGCACAAAAACAGACATGAAGACCAGTGGAACAGAACAGAGGACCTGGATATGAAGCCACACAACTATAACCTACTTATCTTTGACAAAGGCACTAAAAACATACAATGGAGAAACTAGATCCATGTTTATCACCCTATACCAACACTAACTCAAAATGGATCAAGGATCTTAATATCAGACCTCAAACTCTAAAGTTGATACAGGAAAGAGTAGGAAATACTCTGGAGTTAGTAGGTATAGGTAAGAACTTTCTCAATGAAACCCCAGCAGCACAGCAACTAAGAGATAGTATAGATAAATGAGACTTCATAAAACTAAAAAGCTTCTGCTCAACAAAGAAATGGTCTCTAAACTGAAGAGAACACCCACATCAGACAAAGGACTGATAACCAGAATATATAGGGAACTCAAAAAACTAAACTCTCCCAAAATTAATGAACCAATAAAGAAATGGGCAAGTGAACTAAACAGAACTTTCTCAAAAGAAGAAATTCAAATGGCCAAAAAACACATGAAAAAATGCTCATCATCCCTAGCAATAAAGGAAATAAAAATTAAAACCACACTAAGATTCCACCTCACCCCTGTTAGAACAGCCATCCTCAGCAACACCATTAACAACAGGTGTTGGCGAGGATGCGTTACACTGTTGGTGGGAATGGTAAACTAGTACAACCGCTCTGGAAAAAAATTTGGAGGCTTCTTAAAAATCTAAACATAGATCTACCATATGATCCAGCAATACCACTCTTGGGGATATACCCAAAAGACTGTGACACAGGTTACTCCAGAGGCACCTGCACACCCATGTTTATTGCGGCACTATTCACAATAGCCAAGTTATGGAAACAGCCAAGATGCCCCACTACCAGTGAATGGATTAAGAAAATGTGGTATCTATACACAATGGAATTTTATGCAGCCATGAAAAAGAATGAAATGTTATCATTCGCAGGCAAATGGATGGAACTGGAGAACACCATTCTGAATGAGGTTAGCCTGGCCCAAAAGACCAAAAATCGTATGTTCTCCCTCATATGCGGACATTAGATCAAGGGCAAACACAACAAGGGGAATTGGACTTTGATCACATGATAAACCGAGAGCACACAAGGGAGGTATGAGGATAAGTAAGACATCCATAAAACTAGATAGCATTTGTTGCCCTTAACACAGAGAAACTAATGCAGATACTTTAAAGCGACTGAGGCCAATAGGAGAAGGGGACCAGGAACTAGAGAAAAGGTTAGTTCAAGAAGAATTAACTTAGAAGGTAACGCATGTACAGGAAAGCAATGTGAGTCAACTCCCTGTATAGCTATCCTTCACTCAACTAGCAAAAACCCTTGGTCCTTCCTATTATTGCTTATAGTCTCTCTTCAACAAAATTAGAGATAAGGGCAAAATAGTTTCTGCCTGGTAGCAAGAGGTTGGTATGGGTAAGGGATTGGGTGGGGGAAAGGGGGGGAAAAATGACCCAAACATTGTATGCACATATGAATTAAAAAAAAAAAAGACAGGCTAAGGAATTATTCTAGGTGAAAAAGACTAAAACTATACAACAAATAAATTAATGTGGACCAGGAGGGGAAAAAAAGCTATAAAAACTCTAAAAGGTTTTATTTTACCCTTTATACAAATAAGAAACTACCTTATAAAGCTTTGATTTTCCCAAAGTCATACAGTAAGGATACACTTCAGCCAGCTAGAAGTTGGCTCTGCCTACCTCTATAGCATGTGCTATTAGAATTAGGTTGCTGGCCCATTGTCTAGCCATATAGGAGAGCTATAATCTCAATCAAAAAGCTTCACATGCACTAAATTCAGTTAAAATTAAGTATTATTTCTTATTCTTTAATAGGAACAATCAAATATATCTCTCTAATTGTATCAAAGCTGAACATTCCAAATTATCGCTATAAGAAGAGAATGTATCATTCATTGTATCTTGCATCATTCATTCACTCTATAGCAACTTACTAAGAGTATTATTAAAGTACAAATAAAAGTAAACTCTACATGTATGATAGTTAAAATTACAATACAAACTATAGCAAAAACTGAACCACAGTAACAAATATAAACTCACATTGCCAGCATACCTGCTGAATTCAAATTCTATACTTACCTTTTCCTAAATGTGTGTTAATGCTCATATATCTAGCTGTTCCTGTAAGGCTCTTGTGTTCTCTGTACGGTATATGTTTCTTTGTCTCTGGATCAATATATTCCTTTGCCAAACCAAAATCTATAATATGAATAACTTGCTGGGTTTTGTTGCCTGGTCGTCCTATTAAGAAGTTCTCAGGTTTTACATCTCTGTATATCAAGTTCTTTGAATGGACATATTCCATGCGAGAAATCTTGGTTTAAGAACAGTAAAAGAAACTTATTTTAAAAAATACAAGACAGAACTTTCACAATGAAAACAATATAAAAAAGAAAATATCAGAAATTGCTTCAACACTTTAAAGGTTAACAAATTGCTTTAACACTTTAAAGGTTAACATGACTGTTAGTGTGTAATTCCCCCTACAATTAACTTGATTGTGATTTAAAATGTATGCCTTTAATATTATGGTAACTGACAACTGAAAGCAAATTTATGAATTCATTTCCTATCAGTAAGCTGACTCAATCAACACATTCTAAGATGCTATGTCATAAAATCAAAAGGCTTTATGATTAAAAAAATCAAACTCTAAAGCATAAATAGACTTCCTCATAAAGTTGCATTATTCTTCCTCAGTTCAATAACTTGGCAACTTTTATAATCTAAGAAATTTAAGAGATTAACCTGTTAAATAAAAATAACTGGCACCATCATTCAGTATTTATTTTCTTTTTTACAACTTCTTTTATGCTATTAAACACTTAGAAATAAAAAATTGGAAATTTTTATTAATAATAATAATATAGGACATTTATATTAACTGCTTATAGATTTTCAAATAATATTCATCATACAAAATATCACATTACAAATAAGAAAACTGCTTCATTTAGTGACAATTATGATTAAAAATGCAATGTAAACTTATTGTCACATAAGTCATTCTGGTTTGTTTACATCAACAAATTTAGATTATATATAATATTCCATGACCCATGCTTTAATTAATGATATCTTATGAGTATTATCCAAGTCATGAAACATTTTATTATTGCATAATTTTTCATAGTTGCATATTGTTTTAAGATTATAATTTTAATAATTTATCCAATTTATTCTGTTAATTATGCACATTTGAGTTGTTTCCCATTTTTTTATTGTATCTATCCTTGAGCATAAAACTTAAAGTACATCTGGCTACTTCCATAAGATAATTAAAAAGAAGTAGAATTAATGAGTCAATGAATAAAACACAATTTAAAGACTTCTGCAACACACTCACATTAGTTTTTGTCTTTGGGGGCATCTTGGGGTATCTGGGGGATACTGGGAATTGAACTCTGGGCCTTGCACTTGTTAGGTGCTCTACCTCTTGAGCCCCTCCCCAGCCCCTTTTGCTTTAGTTATTTTAGGGGTGACAGGATTTCACATTTATACCCAGGAAGCCTGGACCCCAATCTTCCTGATCTGCACCTCTTGAGTATTTTAAGTTAAAGTTATCTACATCAGAAAGACAATATGAAAAGTAGAAACATTTGTATTGCATAGGTCAAATGGTCTTTAAGATGTCAAAAAAACTTTAATAAAGCTTTTAACTTAAATTTGTGACCAATGAACCATATGCATGAACTTCAGAACACCCTGTATTACTTACCAGCTGTATAGCAATCATGAGAACTGTTTTAAGAGAAAATGTTCTGTCACACAAGTCAAACAAGTCTTCCAAACTAGGTCCCAGCAGCTCCAGCACCATGGCATTGTATTTACCACAAGGACCAAAATAGTAAACTTGAGGTATACCATCTAGGGGAAAAGAAAAGGTCATTTAATAATTTCATTATCTTAAATACTAAGCCTTTCTTCCTAGAAAATCAATAAACAGGGCTGAAAGTATGGCTCAAGTGGTAGAGCACTTGCCTAACAGGGGCAAACCACAGTATCATCCCTCCTTCCCCCAAAAAAACCCCCAGAAAATCAATAAACAAGTTTTTAATTTTATAGTTTTAAAAACTATAGCAGTATTTTTACTTTTTACAAATATATAATACGTTTTTCCTGACCAAACCTCCTCCCTCCCTACACCTTCTCCTGATGTCCATACTGTAGCCTGGCTACACTTCTATGTAGCTACATTACTGAGTAACAGTATAAGGAATACTTCATTGTCTCTCCACCACCTCGTGTACTTGGCTTTTCCATGCCCTAGAGGAATACTTAGAATACTATATTGAACAAGGGAGTCGTGGCTCTCTAATAAACCTGTGGTAGGCTTGCTGCTAAGACCATCTCCCAGAATTCCCACCACTTGGTGTACATGCCCTATAAATCCTCTTCCCACAGATGTGGGCAAAACTCCTGGGTTTTCACCCTTCTGGTTAGATAGCTCCACACCCATATACAGTTGTCCCTTTATATCTATGGACAACAAAGCCTCATGTGTTAAGACACTAAGTTAGCAACAATCCACTGTGTAGCTGTACAAAATAACACAAACTTCACATATAAAGTTTGAGGTCATGTGTACTTTATTTTTAGAACTAAGAGATTTCCAATAAACATGTAATAACTGATTAATTTACCTTAATATTGTATTTTATCTATTAGTGCCTTATGAGGAAATTAAATTCTTCAATGAAAAATGTCTCAGTTTTACCTTGGACTGATTTTTTTTCAGTAATGTTAAAAAGAAAGCCAGGTATAGCTAGAGTAACTGTAATGCCAGCACTGGGGAGTATGAGGAAGGAGGGTCTCAAGTTTGAAGGCAGCCTCGGCAATGTAGGAGAAACTCTGTCTCAAAAAGGGGGTAGGGATCTTGCCAAAATGACACTTCACCATTCTTCTTAATAAAGAATTTTGGAAGCAGTTTCATTCTTGTTGTTGACCTTATCATTCTGAATATATATTATTGTAGCAGCAGAAGAATAGAAAACACAACTAGAAACCAGTACAACCAGGTTCCTCTTTCTGGCCTAATAATCACCAGCTTAGCTGTATGGCTGGCTTATCGTTCTACTTCTCAAGTATAATTTGAGGGCTTGTGGAGTGGCTCAAGTGGTAGAGTACTTGCCTAGCAAGTTGAGGTCCTGAGTTCAAACCCCAGTATGGAAAAAAAAAAAAGGATATTATCAAGTATAATTTGGATAAGACCAGTATTTGTCAAATGTAAATATGAATGAGGCAACAGAACATGGTGTGAGACAGCACAATTATGGCAAGAGTGGGGAATGGAAACAAATTCAAGCTGCATTCACGATCCCCTCTCCAGAAATAGATTCTGATACATTCCCACACATGTATGTCAACACTGCCTACAAACTCACACAAACACACCACACACTCACTCTCTGTCATATACACACACACGTCTGTGTGCATGCATGCACACAAATCGCACACTGCATACATCCTTGTACCATTTCCCCCAACACTGGGAAATCACTTATCTTAATATAAGCTGCTCCTACAATAGCCAATCTTATCATATGGGTTTTATCTACTTGATCACATGTGTAAAAGCAAAGAAAAATTTCAAAAATAGTGAATGAGAGACTTACTAAAGTTTATTCCAACTCTGAAATCCTACTTTTACTACGTTATGTGCATTAAGAGTCTGGAATTACAATTAACATTTATACACAGCTCTTAGCCCTAGGATTTTTCAACAGTTCTCAGCTACTAAGCTTTTAAAATTCTTTCCACAATGCTATTCTTTTTCCTCCATGCCACTGAAAGTTGTTTATTTTTATGCTTACAATTTAACAACCTCTAATAACTCATTTCTACTCTTTACTTTGTTGCTTCTGATCTGTAGGGTGCAGGGAAACTGGATCATCAAAGTTTGCTGGAGCTATATATGTAAGATGTAGAAATAAAGAGGTTTTGAAGTTCTTTAATGTAAGGTCTGTCAAAGAGCTTCGCTGCTTCCTCGTGGCTCACAAACTACATTTCCAATAGCTAAAGTCATGCAGAAATGGTCCCCGAATAAGGTAGAAATAAGATTTGGGCTTATTAAATGACTAGGGCTTTTTCCTTCAAATGCTTTCAAAGGTTTCTAAAAATGGGAAAGCATTTAAGGAATCTTACTTTCTGAATTAATTCAGTAAGTATGACATCCTTATGGGACTGGTTGGGGCATTATGTACATAAAAGTGCATAAGAGACCATAACTGATGAGTTAGTCCAGAAATGCAAGGTAGAGTTAATATTCAAAAATTCACCAATGCAGTTCACTATAACAGAAATAAGTGTGAAAAAACATAAGGTTTTTTGTTTTGTTTTGCTTTGCAGTACTAGGATTGAACCTAGGGCCTTGTACACACTAGGTAACTACTCTACCACTGAGCTCCATTTCAAGCCTTCATAAGATCATTTTAATTAATACAAAGAAAACATATGACACAACTCTCAGCAAAATTTGGAATATAAGTTGTCTAAATCTGAGAAACAGCTCCTACAGAAAACTACAAGCTAACAAACCGAATGCTTTCCATTAATGACTGAAAGCAAGACAAAAATATCCACTTTCATCTCTTCTATTCAACAGTGTTTTAAATAAAAATCACATGGGCCATTATTTTAAAACTAGCTCCTGCACAGGGCCCCAACAGAACAGACTGAATATCAAAATGGAGTCACCCTTGTTAAAGTTCCATGTCACCAAACCGAAAATTAAGCTGTTTATATGACCTTAAAAAAACAGAAACAAAAAACAAAAAAACCCCAAGAGAAATGAGGAATAACAGTCAAATTTTCCAAACAAGCTAGTTTCAGTCAGCATGATATTGAAATTTCCCCTGCTTTAATCCTTCTGCAGAAGATGTGACCTGAAGAAATCTGATGTTAACTGGTTATGTTTTTATTGCTCTATTTCTTGGTCCCCAGTGCCTCACAAGGAAAGTAACTTTGAAATAACCAATCCTTCTTGTTCTCTGTTTCTGCTGTTTTCAGCCCTTCTCTATGCTCAGCTTATCAGAACACTTATTCTATTTTATGGAAAGTAGTGTTTCCGGACTCTGGAGAAAAAAATAAGGCAAATTTTTTTATCAAAATAAAAACTATTAAGATCTCTAAGTTGTTGTAAATGTGTCCTTGGTGAGTGCAATGAAACAAATAAAAGGCATTCTCAGGAATCCACAAAGTCTCCATCACTTCAAGAAAAACTGACAATTATTTGTTATCATTAATAGAACTCAAGTCAAGCATTAATTAGAATTTTGTAAAAAACTGTGTCTACCAAGATGACAGTTTCCAAATACTTAAAAACTTCTTGGGTGAAATTAACAATTATGATTTAATTTGGATAATGGAACACATCAATATTTGAAATTTATGTAAGTTAGTAAACCAGTATCTTCCAAGAGACTATCCATGTAGTTGTAAACTCAAGCCTGAGTAAATAATACATCCAAAATACAATGGATTTTAATGTAAACAATTAGAAAAAATGTTTTGATAGGGCTTCTATCTCTATAATGTAACTGACCTTCAAGAAACTACCACTTTTCTGTTTTGGTATAGTATCAAAAGGGTATACATAGTTAAAAGCTAATTAATTAGTCAAGGCTGACAAAATATTGATGAGAACATGAAGAGAGTTTTGGACAAAACTTGCCCTACTCTTTTCAAAGTAAGCAAAAGTGTACACACAAAGATGTGCAAGCTGTATTGTTCCTTACAGTTGAAAAAAGAACAGGTAATCTAAACCAGGACTAATTAAACAAATTATGTCACACCCATTCTGTAGAATACAATACAGCCTTTAACTACCTTTACAGATAATTGTGAAAGACAAACTTTTACTATTTTTATATTAGAGTGCTGCTCATTAAATTTTTTGTTATTGTTTACAACTGCATATTTTTAAAAAATGTTGAGACAGGACCTTATTGTGTTACCCAAGCTATACATCATCTCCCCATCCTCCTGGATCCCCTCCCAAATGCTAGGATTACAGGCCTGCATCACCACACCCACCTTAAAATATCTTTATGAGTTATTAAGTATACGTATGAGTAGAAAAGATACTAGAAGGAAAATCCCAAAAGCTAACAGAAAGTACAACTGGCTCCTGTTTCAACTTTTATATTTTTTGGACTTTTCCAAACTTTTAAAAAGAACGTACATTAAATGCACATTTCAAAAGTTCTTCCAGGACCATATACAAAAACTTGAATGGGAAAAATATTTAAACCAAACTATAATTTTACTTCCCAGCACAAGTCTGGGCAGTTTTTCAACAATGAGCAAGCAAATTAAATTAAGACTTAGTAAAAGTTGCAACTAATAAGCAGGGTTTGAGGCAGGAGGTGCCCTAAGCCAAAACAAAAGAAAACCACACTGCAACATAAATTTAGGAGGCAAAACCAAATGACAGATTTTTTTAGAAAGTGGGAGAAGTAAAGGAAAAGAAAGTCAGAAAAAGGTTTAGAAAGAATGGTAATGGAGGAGTCGTTACTACCTATGTGTGTTGATCAATTTAGCCACTGAACTGAGTAAGTACAACTCAACTCATGGGCAAAAACTAGCTTCTGCATGTATCTGTTCCTTACACTTGAAGAATTTCCAGCTATAGCTCATAGTATGCTCATTTCCGGTTGTTAAGACTGATTTTTATGAGACCACTACAGAAGCCATCCATTGTGAACCCATGAAAGCTAGCTCTACCAATTTCCAACACCTCTAATTTTCAAGGTTGCAATACTCATTCTCAGGTCTATTTTTTTCCCAAGAAAAATTCAACAATGAGTCAACAAAATTTACATATTTGGAAATACAATCTCACCCTAACTACACCAAAATTCACTTTACTAAACACTTCATTTTATAGTTCATAATTCCATTCAAGTGAAAAAAACATTATTAACTAATTTAAATAAGTTGCAGGACAATAACACATACGAGGAGGTCTAACATTCTTAAAGACTGAGGCCGAAAACATGGAGATACATTCCTGTAATCCCAGCTACTCAGGAGGTGAAGGTCCAGATTATCATAGATCAAGGCCAGCCCTGGCAAAAACTTAGTGAGATCCTCCCATCAACAAACAAACTCAACATGGTGGTACACACCTGTAATCCCAATTATGTGGGAGGAATAGAATAGGAGGTTCAAAAAAAAAAAAAAAAGTACCTGTTATGTCTTGTGGTATGTCTTGAAACACTAGTTTCTTACAGGTGGGCATTATTTAAGTAGATGATTAAAACAAATAATGTCACGATCCATTTCACAATTTCATAGTTTTCCAAAAAGTAAGCACATGTGATATTTCAATGTACTGAATGCTGAAAAATGTTTGAACATGTATCTGTTTTCTATTAAGCCAAATATTAAAGACATTTGCAAACTATGTAAAACAATGCCACTTTTGTTATCTTTTGTCTCTTTTAGAAATGAAAGTAAAGTTCACTCTGCTTTTAAGATGTTCAAATACTTATTTTTAAATCAATTAAATACAGGAACATTTTTATACTTCTTTTAATTTTGAACAGGGGAAACATCAATTGATACATTCCACAAGAACAAAATATGAGATCCTCAAAATGTTTAAGAGTATGAAAAGATCCTGAGACCCACAAGTTTGAGAATGGCTGTCCTAGCTGAATAGTAAGTGCTGAAATGACCAATGGGGACAAGGAGTTAGAGACTCACTAACAGTCCTCTCACAAAAATACCACAACACTGTATTTAGCAGGAACACTCCAAATAAAAGAAATCAAATCACCTCACTGGAGAAAGGAGCAATAGTCCCTTCTGGAACAATTTTACTTACACATTTAGAAATTATTCTAAAATTCAAGGAATATTTTAAAAACAGCATCACCTACAAGTAGGTAAAATGTTAATGCTACAAAAATTGAAAAGAATTTAGTTTATTATTCTCTTTGAGCCTAAATAATTATGGAAAAAAATTGTTCTGTCATTCTTACTTATAACCATGCCCCCAAGGTACAAGCTTACAAATTCTTTTTAAATTTCTTCTTAAAATGTGCTACATTAGAGTTAAAGAAAAATAAATACAAATATGATATTATGTCCTCCTGGTTTTATACTTTCTATATTTTTCCTTTGACACAGAATTCTCAAAATCATTCCATGTTTAAGAAAACTAAATCCCTCATTAAGATTTAGTAAGACTCTAATTCAAAACCACGGTTTGTTTTTTGTTTAAGATTCTTATATAGCAAGGAGTGTGGTGTTTCATACCTGTAATCCCAGCACTTAGAAAATTGAAACAAGAGGACAGTGAGTTCAAGGCCAGCCTAGGATATATAGTGAGACCCTGTCTTCAAAACATAAAATTAAAATCTATATGGCTCATCACAGAAAAAAATACTACAATTACCATACAACACAAAAAAGTCCGTATGTCTATACCATATAAACCAAAGTAAAACTATCATCAATTAAACCCTCTTCCTTAATGACAGGGCATAACTCTCTTTAAATGAACACACTGTCTACAAACCACAACTGTGATAGAAAAACATTGTTACATTATGTCTACTATAATACCAGTTCCAATGTACCAGTATAATTACATAGAAATTAGTAAATTTTAGCAATGGAAGACTTACAGAAATTCCCATACCAAGAGACTTCTATAAAGAATTAGAAATATTACATATTTCTAAGATATCTCCTAAAAGCGATTTAGCAAAAACAGACAAAGTAACTTTAAGAATCTGCTACATATACTGTTTGTTATCTAGGTTGAGATTACACCTACACTAATGCTAACCCACCCTTAGGATATTCTTCATAATTTTTGTTAATACCTAAACACATTAGATAATAACTAATTAGTTTAATCACTTAACTATTATGCTTTTTAAATTTTTTCCCTTCAGATTTTCTCTAACAGAAATTTAGGAGATACAGAGAGAGGGCAAAATTTCTTAAATTTCTATTTTTCTTTCTTTCTCTTCACCCTTCCCCCTCCCCCCTTTGACACAGGTCCTGCTATTTAGCCTTGGCTGGCCTTGAACTCACAATATTCCTGCTCGGCCTCCCAAGTATTGGGATCACAAGTATTCATTACTATACCTGATCAAACTTCTCAGAACAAAAACTCTGTGGATAAAATTAACTTTAGATATTACTGATGGGTTTCCAAAATTCTTCTCAAAAAGTAAATGGCATGATAAAAATTTCCATACAGTATAGAATCACCAATAATTCATTTAACTGTAAGAACTAAATAGTCATGAAAAGAAGGTATAAGTGGAGGTATAAATGCAAAACATGAAGAGAATACATAAATCCTGACTTTTTAACAAGGCACAAATCAAGAAGGCATAGGACATCAGTGTAGAAGAAAGATTTTTCTAACAGTTCTTAGAGATAATACTATGAAGTCATAATTTTAGTAACAGCCACTGCTGCTATCACCAAATTGTTGTTCAGATCTACATAGCTCAAGGAACCTCAAAAGTCAAGCCATTCACTTGAGAAACAATGATTAAATATATGCATGCTCTCAAATAGTATTTTTAATATCATTTGAAAAATTAAGAGATTTGCCAAGACTATTTCCTTGGATTAAGAAGTAACTTTTGACAGAAAAAAGTTACTTTATTTTCTATGACAAAGGTATCAACTAATAAAAAAATTCCCAAGAATAAATTGCCAAGTTTCTTCCAACACAGACTATTTAACTACGTCTTATCTAGACAGAATAACAGATTTTCAAAGAAAAATTTCCCATAAATTTCAAAATATCATCCATGTATTTTAATGATACAGCAATAATTCAAATAATCCAAATAACACTTCAACTTCCTAGTAGGCAGCAATTGTTCCCCATTTTCAGTTTCTGAGATTCAGGCAGCTCATGGGATGTGACATGACTTAACTTGAAGAAAGTCAAATTCATAGTGATGAAAGTCATGGAACCCAATATAAGAGAGTAAGAGTCAGTTTTGGAACTTTTGCTAGATAATTTTTAGAAAAAAGATGCTTTCAAAATTACAGCTCTAGTCTAATGGTGGCCACCTTTGCCATTAAGGGCCAACCTGAGAGTGACTTACATATCATAGGAACTCCAGATGTTAATAACAGTCTTTGAAACCCTGAAACCTAGGTACTATACTTGAATTTCTAGTATGAGTCCATAAATTTCTTTTTTTACTTAGCTTCTTACTAATCTTACTAATACGTTTGGTTTCATATATAATTAGTTTTCTCCCCATAACTTTAAAATCCCAATTGTCTGTAACTCCAAGGCCTTGCTATAGTTTGGATCTGGAATGTCTCACAAAGGTACACTGTGAAAAACTTGGTTCTCAGTCTGTGGGACTATTAGGAGGTGGGGTCAAGTGCAAGTACCTTACATCACTGAGTATGTGCCCTTGAAGTAGATATTGGGATCCTGGCCCCTTCCTGTCTCTTTGTTTCCCAGATACTATGAGGTGGACAGATCGCCTCCACCATCCATTCCTGCCATAATGTACTGCCTCACCACAGGCCCAAAGCAATGAGACCAAGCAACCACAGACTGAAATCATGAGCCAAAGTAAATCTTTCCTGATAAGGATAAGCTGGTTATCTCAAATAGTTTGTCACAGTGATATAAAACTAAGGCAGGCATGTTTGTGTCAGTCCTAAATATGAATTATAAGAAGTTTATAGTGATTACTGCATTAATACAAAATTTCAAACTTACTATCACTACAACAATTCACTTATAGAGTATGCTCTTAGGGGAAAAATGCAAAATCTATACCATATGAAGATGTGGACAGCTCTACTAACTAGAATGTAAACACTCATAAAAAGATAAATGAAGAAATTATATTTTATTAAATCTGGGAAAACAAATGCCCTACCTACGTAACATGAAAAACTATACATGTAAAACCATTACAATTAGAAGAGTAGGAATACACAAAGTAGAGCAGATGAGAAGCTTTAACATGAAAGAGATGTAATATACTCAAGAACATTTTTTCCACTATTTTTTTTCCAATGGCACAAACATGCATTCTCAAATTTAGAGTTCATGTAAAAACACGTCTATATTAGTTTCCTAGGGCTACTTTAAACAAGTTACTACAAATTTGGTGACTTAAAACAACAGATTTTTTTCTTTCACATCTTGGAGGCCAAAGTGTGAAATCAGTTTCACTAGGCTGAATCAAGGTATTGGCAGGGCTATCCTCCCTCTATAATTCTCTAGGATTCTGGGAGAGAATCCTAGAAGCTTCTTTCAGGACCAAGGAGCATTCCTTGGCTTACTGATGCATCACTCCAGTCTTGGCCCACAATCACACTGCCTTGTCTTTTGCTGTGTATGTAAAATACCCTTTTCCCTCTTCCTTAGAATACTTATGATTGCATTTAGGACTCATCCAGACAATCAATAATCTCGTCATCTTAAGTGTTTGCCATATGGTAACAAAAACAGGTTTGAAGGATTATCATGTGGATATCATTTGAGACCATTTTTCAGCCCATAACAATGTTATAATATTACCAAAAAGACTAAGAATATAAAAGCTATATGTATCTTGTATTCTTTAATTTTTCATAATGGTCTCTACTCACAGTATCATCAGCACAAAAAGTTCCAAAGTTGTTTATTTTTCAAAAAAAAAAAAACAGGACCATTAAGACTAAAGAATAGTAAAACACAGCCTAAGAAATGACACTTCTTAACCAACTTTGAAATACTATTTCTTGAAATTAAGTAATTATTGTCATAACAATCTATTTTGTTCCAAGTTTAAGAATTGATATAAGGCTTTACCTCCAGATCCTAACTGCTTATAGAACCTGTATTCCAAATGCAGCTGTGGTGCTCTGGATTTCATGGGCTCCTAGTCAAAGAACAAACAAAGACATTTAAGTTAGTGAAGATCACTAGCCCCAATTCCAAATGTTATAAACGTTAATTTCAACTCTTATACAATGAATTATTCTACTCAGCATCTTTGTGTCTCTAGATTAGATCAAATACAAATCAACTCTGCCTAATGTCAAATAAACTGATGCCATCCATAAATGTATTTAAGGTAAGTAGCTAGTTATTAGATCAAGCATTATGGCTATCTACTACATTAGATTCCCTAACTCTGAAGAAAAATATGCTCTGCTATAGAGAACAAATGGTTAGAATACAGAATCTGTTCATACTGGAGGGGGAAAATGCATCATTCACAAAATGTTTTCAAAGAATGAAAGCTTGTGCCACATTTTCAGCCTTCTAACTAAGGAGGTTTTAGAAATACTCTTACAAGCTTCTTTGCCATATTGCTCATCAATTGAGCAACGCAGAATGAAAAATAAAAAGAAAGAAAGAAAAAATATGCTCTGAACCTTCATGACTAAGGAAATCTTGGTCTTTACACTATCCTGCTTTCAGGAACTCATGTCTGAATTGCCTATTTCTAATGTAAAGCTTTTAGATTAAAGTGAAGACATTGAAAAATAAGAGGGGTTGGTAGTGTAGCTCAGTGGCAGAGTATACACACTTAGCATACATGAAGCTAAGTGTGTATACTCTTAGCTTCACCCCCCAAAAAATAAAGAAAAAAACTGTAAGAACAAAGATGATAATATGAGATTTTTGGTAGTAAAAATGTCTTAAATTTTTTAAACATGAATTGTAACTTATAATAAAACAGTTCTTAAGTGCAGATCTTAGCTTTGTGAACTATGCATACTCCTGTGTCAACCAAAACAGTCTACAGAACACTGCCATCATCTCTTTTGTGGAAATAATCACTTTTTGATTTTTATAAACTTTAGATTCATCTTTGTCTGTTGCTGGATTGCATCTAAATGATATTACACATTATATGCTTTATCTGTGTCTCACTTTTATCAAACAATGTGTTTTTGAGATTCACACACAAAGCACACAAAGACAACATGAACAGAAGCAACACAGATCTTAGATACTACAGATAATATTAAATATGGAAAATATCTAAAGAAAAAGAAAACTGTAATAAGGTAGCATGAAAAATTTAAGTAAGAACCTAGAAAAATATAGTAAGGCAACAGAAAATTTAAAGAATAGAACTTTGAAAAATAAAAAAAAAAATACAATAACTTAAAAGTTCAGTTTCCCAGCAGGTTAATATAACAAAGAAGAGACTACAGGAAATGGAAGGTAAATAGAAAACTGTGCAAAATGCATTATGGAGGAAAAAGTAGAAAATAAAGAACACTAGAGACCTGAACAATACAATCAGAAGATCTACTACGCATTTGACTACAGTGTCAGGAGGAAGGAGACATAAGGATGAACATAAGCAACAGGTGAAGAAATAATCACTATGTATATTCAAGAATTGATAAGGATAACAAAAAGAGATTCAAGAGGAATGAGAACCAGGTGCCGGTGACTCATATCTGTAATCCAAGCTACTTGGGAGGCTGAGATTGGGAAGATCATGGTTCAAGGCCAGTCCAGGCAAATAGTTCAAGAGATCCTATCTCCAAAATAACCAGAGCAAAATGAATTGGAGATAAGGCTCAAGCAGTAGAGCACCTGCTTTGCAAGTACAAAGCTTTGAGTTTAAACCCCAGTCCCATCAAAAACAAAAAAAAAGAGGAATGAGAATCTCAAACAGAATAAAGAAAAATTTTTTATACCAAGACATATCATAGTGAAATTAGAATCAACTAAACTAAGGCTTCCGAAAATATTTTTAAAAACTATTAAAACCCGATGGAAATGTAAAACCATAAGGATTATTATAAGAGAAAATGATAAGCTTAGTTCTTCAGAGGCAGTAGTTAAGCACACACACCTCCCTTACTACACCCATGTGTCCTGCCTGGATGCCTCCATGTGGGACACAAGGAATCTGGGAATCTTCTGATCAGATATTGCACAAGCCTACAACAGTACTGTATAACAAAGGTCATATTACCACAGAATGGTATTTTCATTATTCACTAACAGCAGATTATTATATAAGTGCAAACAAGATATGAGGGTAGTGGATGAAGTCAATTTAATAAATTCCTGAAACAAACTATCAATCTGAAACAGGGTAACATTAGATAAATGAAAGAGGTAACAGAGCTGAAAGAAGTCACTCAATTTGGTCTCCCAGTATCATATCACGTACATACATAAGAAGACTGGAAGCTGACATGGTATTTTAGTATGGACAGGGTAAACCAGTTCCAAATCTGAAAATAGTAGGACCTTAGGGTCACAAGTTAAAGACTGAACCAGACAAGGAAAGGTCAGCCTAGAGCAGTGGCTCCTGCTTTGACACAATAGTTTATCTCCCTTAGTCTATCAGTCATTCACATGCAAGACAGGCTCCTGGAATGGAGCTCCTCACTACAGGCTACTGCATCAATCACACAGAACACAGGAATTGCAGTACTTCTATCCTTGCATGCCACCCCCAACCCCAATGTCTAGATTCAAGACCACTGGCCCAGAATACATGAAAAAGAAGAATACCAAAGAAATAGAAATCAGCAACGCCCATCCTATCTAGTTCCTGCATCTGGACCTCCCTACCATGATTCATATATACTATCTTCCCTTGTCCTGATTTCATGCTCATGAGGAAACCTACCATTTTAATTTGGTTTCTATGTAGCCCATAAAAAGAAAACACATTATTGTACTAACTTGAGCATTTGGCAAAGTATCTCTTTACAAATCAGATATTAACTCTTTGCTAAATATTTACATCTATGAGATCTTGCTTGTATGAACTGATTCTCATGACTGACTGCCATAAATGCAACTCTAAGAAACAGTGGCAATCTTGGTGCAATGACTTAACCAGATTTGTATCATAAAGCTAAGCAGAAGACCTTGAAACCAAGGTGAACTCATCTGGTAAATGCCATGTGTTGGCAGTCAGTCTCTCCTGATGGTGCCACAACCCTACTGTGTATCTTTATTTCCATGTGAAAATAAACAGCATCTGTTGCAGTCAAACCCAGCCTATACTCACAAAGATACTGTAAGATACTATCTCCCACCTTCTTCTTCCTCTAACAGTCTCTCCTTTGTACACTGACTTCACACCACCCTAATAACACAGATTATACTGGCAGAGACAAGGCTGACAACAGCAAGCAGAGTGGAAAATCAAGTCATGCTATACATCAGGGACATAGGTAAGGATGAATAAGAAATATGAACTTACCAATTTAATTGCCACATATTCATTTGTGTATAAATTTTTCCCTTGAAAAACAAAGAAAAAAGTCAGATTCTGCTAATAATTTTTAACTTAATTTATGTAACTTTAATTTATGTAAACTATCCTAGAAAAATTACACACTTAAATACAGTAAAATACACTTAAATACAGTAAAAGTTTTTACTTCCAACTATTAAGCAAAAGCAATCTTCAATAAGAAGGGAACAGTTAAATTTATCGCCAAATCAAGGATATATTTAGTTTTTTATCTATACAGAGTAGAAAGTAACACTAATAAACACGTAATCCCACCTACAAAAATAGAAAGATTCTAAAACCAGGCATGGTCCCAGCTACTCAGGAGGTAGAAAGCTAGAGGATCACAGCACAAGGCAAGTCTGGGCAAAAAGTTAGCGAGACCCCATCTCAACCAATGAGCTAGTCGTGATGGTGTGTGCCTGTGACTCCAGTTACTCACAAGACCAGAGATAAAAGGATCATGACCTGAGGACGGCCCAGGGCAAAGAAAAAGAAAAAAAAAAAAAACCCTGACATCCTACCTGAAAAATAACTAAAAAACAGCAGAAAAGGACTGGGACATGGCTCAAGTGGAGCATCTGTCTAGCAAGCAAAAGACCCTGAGTTCAAGTCCCAGTACCACATAAATAAATAAAGATTTTGACTTTGTTAGAATATTTGCCTAAAACTTAGAAATTAGTTTTTTTCTTGTCCTTTTTAAATTTTTATCACTATGTAATAGTTGTACAAGGGGATACATTGTGATATTTACATGTTTTTACACTTATATCTTAGATTTACTCCTTCCATCTTTTTCTTTCTCCCCCCCTTTTAGAAGAATTTCAATAGGTTTCATTCTTCTATTTTCACATATGAATACAAAATACATCCACCATATTCACTCTCTTTTTCACTTTCTTATGCCAAGCCCCCTCCCGCTGGTACCCACTCCCAGGAAAGACCTGTTTTACCCTCCTGTCCTTCCTTTTTTTTTGAAGTGTGTATTGATAGTCCAAGGGGTTTTCACCTTGGTACTTGTGGCCAGTATCTATCATGCTTTCATTATTCAATATTCAACTGCATGCTAAGTAAACTTAAAACACAGAACTCCTATATAAATATGTATAAACATGAATTTAGTTTAAACCCCAGTACTGCCAAAAAAAACCCAGGAATTCAAAATTCCTCTCCCACTCATCATCTCACTAAAATCATTATGAAATATAATCTTATTGGGGCTCATATTTCATCTAGTAAATGTATCAGATCTATAAAAAAACATCTGAAATAATGTTAAAAATTTCAATAAAAGCAAAATTTCAATGGGTATCTGTAGCCCCAGGATAATACTATGGAGAATTTTGGAGCAGTAAGTAAATAAAGACAACTAATGTGTACCTTTACAAGTACATTATAAAGAATTAAATAAAAGAAATAGTACAACAGATAATTTCTGAATTTACAGTATTTTTTCAATTAGCCTAAGTTACCTTTGTAATGAAGGAAATAGAAAAATGATAGGGATTTTGGTTTTGTTAACTGTGAAAAAAACTGGCCCTGTCACATTGGCTACTGAACACAGAATAGGCAATGGTCAATTTTCACATACAACATTTTTTTTTTGCAAAATCTTGGGCTTCCTTTCATAGTGCAGCTGATGAATAAAACTTACAAGCAAAATGGCAGTCTCAGATGTGCCACCACCTTTGTACAGCAGTTTATTCATACAAATATTATAATTCTTTTCTGATTTTTGTCCTTATTATATAAAAATGAGTGAGCAGAAAGGAAAAAAACATTCACACAAATGCAAAGTAGCATAGGTCTCATAAGCTCAGTATACTTGGCATAAAGATGGGACTCAAAAACATTCCAAAACTGATGAGTATTAAACTCTATGCAGATACTAATTAGATCTATATAAATATTTTTAATGTTAGCAAATATTTTATATTCTTAACTGATTAGTGCAGCATTTAGATGTGTCTTCATACACATTTCCAAGGCTTCAGAATGAACAAAAATTTAAGTTTCCACTAGTAAGCAAAACTGAATAATGATAAAATGGCAAACTTACTTCAGGACCTGGTATCTAATTAACAAAAGAACAATTCTAGTTTTGAGTTTATTGGTAAAATATGCATTTCTTCAAGCTTATTATCTCTTCACAACTATTTTGTATATAATGTTTATTCACACATATACAGGGAAAAATTCACAAGAAGTTAGGTTAACTATAAAACCCATAGAACAAAATATACCAAATATTTCTGAAAGTCTTGCTTTTGTTGGCTTTTATATGGTCCAGCATCTACTTTTTGGGTTACAGCAAGAAGTACCAAATCCTAAAAGCATCATGTTTTCTGGACATTAGAGATTTTGCTGAACCTTGGGGGGGAGAAGGGTCACAGTTATAAACATGAACAAAGCTTAAACAATAATGCAAATGCGTTTTTGTCACCTAGCATATCCACAAGTCTCACATGGTTACCTTCTAATCAATATTTGTTATACACATGAATAAACAACTGATACACAAAGTATGCTCGTGTATATGGTACTAGTGAAAAAGGGAGTGTGGGTATAGAGGAAATCCTATTAAAAGAAGGCTCCAAGTAAATGGGTGCTGGTTAATTGATGTTACAATTCAATTTCAAAGGATATTTCCAATACAGCTTTCTGCCACATTGAGCTTGAAAAGATGGTTTTACCAACACTGTGGAATCGGGGTGGTAATTATTATAAAAAACTATGTTCTTTAGAAACTCTGTGTGTGAGAGAGAAAGACAGAGAAAGAGAGAGAGAGACAGTGAAAGAGAGACAGAGGAGAGTGTGTGTGTGTGTGTGTGTGTGTGTGTATTTATAGCAGAAACCACCAGTTATCCACCAATACCCATTCTCCTCTTCCATAACAATAGAATGCCCATGCTTGAAAATGGCTGCCTAGCTACAGACACATTTTCCAGTTTCACTTTCACCTTACTGCGGCCATGTGACTAAGTTCTTCATATCAGTGGACAAGAGCTATGTCACTTCCCACTTCCAGGAACAAATGTATGCATCACTGACTCTTTTCTCCCTCTGACTAGCTGGCTGGTTGGAAAAGGTCAACACTTAAGAGAGATCACCTGGCACACAGACACTGAAGCCACATATTAAGGATACAGAGGTACCCTGAGAGTCTGAGTGCTCTCCCTCTGTGTCATGTGAAAGAAAAAGGATTTGCTTAAAACCCCTATGTTTTGGGATTTTTTTTGTTAAAACATCATAATCTACTCTTTATTATACTTTCAGCCAAATTTTAATAATGCTTTGGCTAGAAACAGTAATAAACTCAATAAACATAAAAATGATGGAGTCACAAAAATCTGCAAAAGTATTTGATGTATACTAAAAGACGCAGACAATTTCAACAAAATAATTCTCAAACGCAAACATTAAAATAAAGAGAATTATAAGCTATATAAGAGAAAAAAGCAAAAATAAAAAGTTATGGACAACCTTTGTAGAAAACTTAGTTATGTCAAAAATTACAGTATCTTATTTCAGATACAATCATTTGTAAGCAATATATAACATCCTTACTTTGTGTTCTTTTATGTGACGGTCAGTCAGGGGCAGCCACAAGAAAACACAGGAGAGGCTCAGGAAAACAAAGTTTATTATACTCACAAATCCTAGAGAGGGAGTCATACTGCATGCCACACAGTCACAGCAGAAACATCAGCTTTGGGTTAAGTGGTAGAAGATGGGGCAAAAGTAACACTTGGCCCAAACCTTTCTCAGTTTCCAAGGAAAAGGCAAAACCAGGGAGGATACAGCCTAGAGTAGATTAGTCTCCATAATTCCAGTGAACTTTAGGCTACAGAGCTGGTCTCTAGTGGCAAGATACAAAGAAATATCCCCTCCAGGGTAGATGGGCCAGATAAGAGTAAGGTAAAGTGGCTAATCCAGGAGGGGCAGTCTTTCCCCACTAACAAAGTTTTTTGTCCAAAAATAATACACAGAAAACTTGAAACTTATACAATGCAAAACTCTATGTTTTGCTAACTATGTTTGGTGTCCTTTAAGCTAGAAACATATGCACCCACATACAGATTGCAAGCCTAAAAACATAAAAATAAAATGAAACCACAAATAAATCAACTCATCATTTAAAATACAAAATACAGATAAAATGCTCCACACATTTATTTAAATATAATTTTAATTTTTAAATATTTACTATTTTTTAAAAATCTCATAGGTATTTTCTAAAACTAGTTACCTGTAAGAACACTTTCCAACAGTGGCTAGCTTTGCCTCTCCTTGGGGCATTTGGACATGGGCGGGGGATGGGTACAGATATTTTGAGCTGTGTATTGATTGCAATTATTTGATGCCCAGAAGGTCTGAATAACATTGCCCTACAAGTTGACAGTCTTCTACAAAAAAATTAAGTAAAAATAAAAAGAACTGTCCATGTGCTGAGGGCATAGCTCAAATGAGTGCCTACCTAGCAAGGTCCTGAGTTCAAACTCAAAAAGAAAAGAACTGTCCAGTCCAAACTGCCAATAGCGTTTTTGTTGAAAATCACTATAACATGTATAACTTATTCTTTCTTACACAATACTAAACACAAAAAATTTCAGTACCAACAATCAAATGTTCAAGATGTGTTTATTAGTGTGGTTTTAATAATCCAAATGAATTTTTAGCATCAGAATTTGTTTATCCAAGACAGAAAGAAAACTGCTTATAAATAACATTTTCTAAATAGAGAAACCATTTGGGGCTTTGAAAAAGCAGTAAAATGCTCCATTAGTAGTCCATGAATAAGGAAGAATAAAATAATTAATTTAGCCCTGTGTGTATATATGTACATTATAAATATATGCAAAACACAAATATAAATATTACATTTAAATAAATTTATGCAAATATCAAATGTATCTATACAATACTCTTTGATTAGATTAGCAGTACTAAGAAGTCCCCTATTGCTATTACAACTTATTCACAGATGACTAAAGAGGGATGCTTCACTGCTTTTTCAATGTATAGCACAGTTTCGGTACAGTTTCTCATACTGTCGTTGTTAAAATGGCCTGCTTCATTTGTTTTGTGTGAATTCAAACACACACACACCTACATATGCATACATATGTATATGTTGTATTTATATACATGGGTGTGCATTGTTGCTTTGAAACAAATTATGCAAAACAAATTTTGAATAAAATGGTCAAAGTACATGCAGATGTAGCATTGATCTTTTTACACTATCCTCTAAATCTAATCCTCACTATACTTAGGAAGTAGAAATAATCCCATTATAAAGTTGAGGAATTTGAGTCCCCAAGTAGTTAAATGACTTATGTGTTCTAATGTGGCAAGGACCATTTTCATATTTTTCTAGCATATCATAAATATTAAGTATTGAATTCAAACCAGTCTTATCCCCCCAAAAAAAAGAATTTCAAACTATCTTTCAAAAAATAAAATGCAAACCATTCACCCTTTCAAATATTTGAGTCCCTACAAAATGTAAAAGTTTGCCAGCCACATGACTATGTACAAAGTATGTCATTGCCTTTTATGAGCTTACGTCATTCAAATATTTCATGTATGTTAGCAGCAACAGAAAACTAATAGGATGAAAGCGTCACTACAAATTAGGGTGCCTAACAGGATAATAAGGAGAAGTAGTTGAGTAGGTAAACATACAAATGGATTTATTTCCAGTAGCAGGGTTGGCTCTAAGGAAAAACCATGAAGCCAAAATTTTTCTCTATTTATTTCTAGAATTCCCACTCTTGGTGATCCACTAACCAGAGCACTCAATGTACCTCAATACTGACTCCCACATAACCACGCCACCCTCCTTCTAGTTTTTCATCAATGGAGACAACTACATCTCTTCTGTACTAGGACTTAAGACTTAGATTTTATTCCTGAATCTGTCATCAGATTGCTTTGTGACAACTTCTGTAAAGGTAGAGTTAGGAGCTTTAATTAGATCAGTGTTTCACAAAATTGCTAATTATGATAACCTGAGCCAATATTGCGTCTCTTGTTAAGACTATATTCCTGAACTCCATACCAGAAATATTTGGGGGGAAGAGAGGGGAAAAAAGGGTGGAAAGAAAAAAATTAAATTGTAACGGTGCAAATTTTCATTAATTTTAAGTAGCTTCAGTATCTTAACTTGACTTTAAGCCACATATATGGTTCTAGAGTGATCAGTTAATAAATGTCTTGAAATATGAAAAAGAAACCTAAATATCATCCCCAAAGAACATACAACAAAGGCCTCACTGGACGCTACTTCAGTCTACTAAAACGGTTTTAAGTTATTTTCTTATTTTCCTGTATTCTCAACAAATGAGAATAGTTAATATCAAGCAAGCAGACATTTCTATATGAAATGAATGAAAATACACTACATAAATTTCCAGTATCTGTATTCTTTACAAATTACCATGACAATTAAACAACGAAATAACTAAATCCTTTCCATTAAAAAGTATCTTACACTTAAAAAGTGCCTCTCATGTAATGGAAGAAACAAAATAGCCTTACCTAATCGTAATTCTCCAAAATTGCCACATCCAATTTTTTTTCCAACTCTAAAGTTAGGTCCAACCATTAAAACTCCAGATGAAGACCCAGTTCCTCGAGTGTTGTGCCCTGAACGACCACTAGGTCGTGCCATTCTATCATCTGATTTGTCCTTGTCTTTCTTTTTATTATCCATATCAAGTTTGCGGTACTCCACTTTGAATTCTTTAATCAAGACAAACAGACTGAAATAGGGTATTGTGAGAATAGGTACATCACTAGGTAACTGTACCAGATGGACAATGTTAACATCCAAAATTCAGTAGATAGTCCATTAACTGGAGCGTGTTCATCCCATTCGTAAAATTTTTCTCAGTTGGCTTTTCAGCAAAACATGCCTTCAAAATTATCTTCTTGGTGATGTAAGTTGATATAGATAGAGAGCTAGAACATCAAGAAAAGAATACAGTTAATATATGTTTGGGAAATTAGATAACATGGCAAAAGCTTAGACAATGAATTAGAGCTATTTGTTGATGCCCACTGAATCAAACCACAGTGGACTTTTAGATTAACTCTTTATTTCTATACTTTAATACTACAGAAATCACAAAAACAAAATAAAACCAAAAACCAGGGATTCAGTTACTTTTTAAATTTTTATTTTAATATTATTTCATAAAACAATATACATTCACTAAGATGAAACTTTCTAACTTAAAAATCACCTCAACTACAAAAAGTACTCAAAAAATGCTAACATATCAATACAGATTTACTATCTAAAAGCAGAAAGAAAACTTTGAAAATCAGTTAAATATCATATCTTGTCTATCTTTACATGATAATAATTTTCAAATGAAGATATCACTTGATCTTCATTTATTCAATTACTTATTACTCTTTACATATGGAAAATAAGCACAGAACAGATAATATCAAAAATATTCCTGCTATCTCTCAAGTAAAAATATTAATTCCTATGCAGCATTTGAACTGACCTTAAAAAAATGTCATTTCACATGGTCAGGAAACGTTAACAAGTATCAACTACTTATAAGGTAGAGAAATTAAGTATTAAATTTTCTAATATACAGATGAAAATACTATAGCACACAAAAAAATGGGGAAGGCTTTTTGGAAGAGTCTGCCCATTCGTCTTCTTAAAATTTCAGCCATCAAGCATATGCAACTCTGTGGTAAACTTATAACCTCATACTACATGATCTCCCTTCTTTTGTTTGAATAATCTAAGTCAGCTTCTATTTGCAACTGAAAAGCTTTGAGCTCAGTGTGGTGAAGCACACCTGTAAGTCCCAGAACCTGGAAGGCTAAAATAGGAGGAGCTTGAGTTTGATCCTACAGTCTTGGACTACACAGGAAGACCTTATCTCAAAAGGAAACAAAATGAAACACTGAAGAAAGAAGTCTTAACTTTAAAAGAAAAACTAGGGTCAATATTAAAGACTTATTCGTATTTCTGATATTGATTATATTATGCCACTCTAATAAAGGTTGAAATAATAGTATCTAATTTTCAGCAGCTCCTCAAACATGGAATTAGTCCTAACAATCTATTTTTATTAGCATATATAAGTTCTACAAAGGGGTTTCATTGTGATATTTTCATATATGCATATAATGTACTTTGATCAAATTCACTCCCTTTTCATCTCCCTTTCACCTCCCTTCCCCCCACTTGAAACAATTTTTAACAGGTTTCATTACTCTATTTCCACACATGCAAATAAAGTACTTCCATCATATTCACCCCCCCCATTTTTACACTGATGCTATTTTTTATGTCTCTTGTATTATCTGATATATTCTTTTATTTGTAGATGAAACTATAGGCTCCTGTTTACAATACGTAAAGCTAAATAAGACAGATCTCTACTTCCAGCCATAATGGAATAAATGTTTAATGCTAAACATTTCCTTCTGCTGTAAACAACTATAAAGCTGGACTTAACATATGAAGCACCTATTTCAAGCATCAGATAATAGACAATGCACTGTGATTCCTGAGGAAAAAATACAAAGAACACCCCACCTTTACCCAAACTCTCTATCTGGGGCAATTTCCTTACTACAAAACAAAGTAAGGCTTAGGCAGCACACAGTGATCATAGACTGGATGAAGTGGATGGAATTTGAGAAACATAGTACCAAAACTAAGGGAGTTTTGGGAAAAGTTGGGCAGAAGGCTAGGCTCTCCATGTGCTCAGGAATATTTTGAAATACCTAAGACACAATGGCTATGACAGGGCTACAGAACAATGGAGATACTGGAGCCTGCATGGTACTGACAGTCATAGTAGAAGAACCTCATCAAAATCCAGGCATTTAGCTGAGACAGTACAGTCACAAGTCTTAAAAATAAAGACTGGTCCAACTAGAGCCTAAAACCATGCCTATACAAGATTAAGAATAACTCTAATTAAATTAACTGCATTCTCACTGAGGGAGTGGGGGAGAAACAAACCCAACATTTTCAAAAAGACAAAAAAATTGCTGACTCTCATTAAATTTAAAATTACCAAAGATTCCAAGCAATAAATGTGACCCATAGTTAAGAAATAAAGCTGTCTAAGGAAAAAGACACCAAGGTGACCCTGATACTTGAATTAAAAGACAGGACTTAAAACTTCTATAGTAGCTGGTACAGTCATATTAAATTGAAGAAAAAGAACAAAAATGACATCAAAACAAAACAAAAAATCCTTACATAGTCCATGTCATAATGGTAAAAGCATCAATTTAACAGAAAAACATAAAAATCATAACTACATAACAAGAAAATGAAGCAAAAACTAGCAAAACTAAAGAGAAAAAAAGACAATTAGAATACAAAAATGTAATGCCAATGTTTTAGCAATTGATAAGTAGAAGACTAAAACAGGTCAAGCATGGTGGTCTATAATCTTAGTACTCAGAAGGCCTAGGCAAAAGGATCTAAGGTCAGTTTAGACTACATAACAAGTTCGAGGTCAGCCTGGGCTACATAACTATCCTGCCACAAAAAAAGAAAGAAAAAAGAAGACAACAAAAACATCAGCAATGTCTAAATAACACCAAGAGCTATGAACTAACTATAAAATACAGCATCCAAAATTGCAGAATAAAATTACCTTTCAATGTTTACCAAGAAAGACCATATGTGCTTTGCTATAATTTACTTGTCTCAAGTAAATGAAATATTACAGTATATTTGATCAAATCAAAATTACATTAGAAATCAGTAACTATATGATATAAACAAAATCCACAAATATTTGAAAATAAAACAAGCTTTTAAATAATTCATGAGTTGAGAAAGAAATTACAAGAGAAATGGGAAGTAATTCAAACACAACAGTAACAAAATGTATTAAAAGCAGTGCTTGGAGTGAAACTAGACGTTACATTAAAAAGGAAGTTTTTAATCAGTGATCTACAATTTCTCCTTTAGAAGTCAGAAAAAAGGAAATTAAACACTGAGTTGAAGAAGCACTTTAAAAGAACTACTAATAGCAACAGAATTACAGGAAAATACAGTCTTAAGTAATGAAAAAACTGAATTATTAATAAATATATGAAAAATACAACTCCTTGCCTAGAATAAAAAGGATCATATCTGGAATGAAATACTTCACTGGATACATTCAACAATAGATTGGATAAAGCAGAAGAAAGTATCAGTGAACCTGGAGAGAGCCAAAATTATCCAGAGAGCAAAAACCAATGGTACAGAAAACAGACTACAATAGAAAATAAAGCCAAAAATTGACTCTAAAAAAAGGTAAGTGAAATTGGTAACTACTAGCAAAAAATGAGCAAGAACAAAAAAGAGAATGCACAAATTACCAATAACAAGAATGAAAGACAATATCAAAAAGAACCTACAAACTTTATTAAATGAATAAAGGACTATAATAACCACTAAGTTTTAACTTAGATAAAATAGACAAATCAAGATGAAATAGAAATTTCAATAGGTCTGTATCTACTTAAAAACTGAATTGATTTTTTTAAAAAACCCTTTCCATAAGGATGTTTCACTGGTGAATTTTATCAAATATTTAGGGGAAAACAATACTATTCTTATTTTAAAAAACTCTCTCAGAAACATAGATTAATCAATTTACTTTGTGAAGTCAGCACAACCCTAACACAAAAGCCTAATTTAAAAAACTTCAAGAAGATTAGACCAATATTTCTCATGAGCACAGATAAAATTTTAAAAAATAAAAGCAAATGTGTAAGAAATTAAATAATAATTGGAGTTAAAACTAGAGCTTTTAAGATCGACTTCATATTTGAAATCCATTAGACAAATTACCACAAAAAAATTGGAAACCCATATGATTTTCTCAACAGCAATATTACATTTGACAAAATTCAACTCATTAATGATTAAAACCTTTTATGAATTCAGAGAGAGAACAGAACTTCCTCAGGCTAATAAAAGAAGCCTACAAAAAAACAAAAAAGCCTTCAGTTAATATTATACTAAGTGGTAAAACAATGAACTCTTTTCCTCTCAAGACTAGGGGAAAAAAAAAAAACACAAGCATGTCCTCTGTCAGATTTTCTGCTCAACACTGTACTGAAGTAGCCAGGGCTACAATAAAATATGCAAAAAGCATGAAAAGCAGAGAGAAAAAAGTAAACCTATTTATATTCACAGACATCATGATTATGTGTAAAGAAAACTACCAAATCTCTAGAAAAATACTATGACACCAGAAAAAAAATGAATGTAATAAAACTATAATAATCCCAGTCAACACACAACAATCAATTGAACTTTATATATTAGCCACAAATATATGAAAAATAAAATTGGAGGAAAAAGCAATTTAGAATAGCATTTAAAATAGCAAAAAATTTTCAACAAAATATGTGCAATACCAGGTACAATGAAAATGTACAACACTGCTGAGAGAAACTTAAAGGCACAAATAAATGATAAAAATACAACAAATGGATTAGAAAACTCAATGTTGTTAAGCTATCTGTTCTCCCAAAATTAATCTGTAGAATCAACATAATCCCAAACAATATACCAGCAGACTTTTTAAATTGATAATCCAATCCTAAAATGTTGTAGAAATGCAAAATCTACACTAGACAATCTCAGAAAAGAATGACAAAAATCAGAAGATATGGAAGCAAAGATATGAACAAAACAATACAGAGTTCAGTAACAAATCCACAAATAAATAGTCAACTGATTTTTCACTAAGACATCAAGTCAACTGAATAGTGACAAGAAAGTGTTTTTAACACATGGTGCCAGAACAACCATATGCCTATGTGAGGGAAAAATGAATTTGAATACTATATTATTTCATAAATGAATGATTTGAAATGGATCACAGATCTGAACACAATATTAGAACCATAAAGGGGAATCTCTAAGTGATTTTAAAGTAAGCAAAACTTTCTTAAGACACAAGAAG